TCCTTCGCCTTCATAGCGCGCGATCGGGTGGTGCGGCTAGCAATGCGATTTTCGGGGAGAAGTTACCACACCCACGAGATGGCTACACTCTTTTTATTGACACATGCGTTGCCCTTATGCTAACATAAGACAGCTCTAAACGCCCAACTGGAGAGCTCTATCTATTCAAATAGATATTTTTAAAAATTACCTCAAAGATTAAAACAGGGCCGATTGCCTGAGGCGATGCCCACAAGCAGTGCTACCCACTTCATTCAGCATCATTTCAGTGTCTCACATGCTAATATTGTTCATGAACAAAACACTAAAAAAAAAAAAACTAAACTAAACATATGCACCCACCGCAAAGTACCTATTTGGTGGATAGCCAGGTTGTGGTCCATAATATTGCTGTCCATTGAACATTGCCGGACCCGCCCTAAACGGGACAGCATTGCCGAAAGCGGTTCTACCTGAACGATTTGTTTTGTTACTGCAGATCCCCTTTTTCTAAGACTGAGCTTACCTTGCGGGACAGCGTTGACAGAAGGTGGAAAAAATTGGCGAAGATACGGCATAAAATTGAGAACATTATATGCTTGAAAAAGCTTGTACAGTTCAGGGGCGATCTGTCCCCTTGTCACCTCGCCATTCTCAATCCGCTGAAACAATTCAGATCACACGAACCCTGCGATCAAAAGCTGAGCTTTAGCTTGAGAATTCAAGAGAGAAGACATTGCAGCAAACATGGGCACACTACTGCTTTCGCCTCTCACATGAACGCCATGGCGTTGTGTACGATTATCGATTAGCGCGCGCCTAGGTCCTAAACCTGCGCGCGCACTAATCGATAATCTCACACAGCACCATGGTGTTCATGTGAGAGTAGATACAGCGGTGGGAGTAAATACAAACAGGAGGGCATTAAAAACTGATGCTCGATATTTGCGACTCGCAATCTGATTGTCCATAGAAAACGGTGGAATCACTCATACTTCGGTACCATGGAGTTTTACTTGACACCTACTGGTAACATTGCAGAGCCGATAAACACAACTGACAATACATACCTGTAAAAGATTAGTTGATTCCCGTCTGAAGGATTCCATAATTATCTGCTTCTGGGCGATTTCGATTATGTTGCTTCTAAACAGAACATTTGCTAAAAATCCAGACAGATTGACAGCAACTTGTTATCGGACCCGATAGGTTTCGTTTCAGCTGTCGGCTGGTTAACCCAATCAACACGCCTTCCATGTTGTGACGGACCGCCTGTCCCTGGCGGTGGAAAACGCGAAT